GAGGCTGTGTCCTCTGGTTCTGTCAGCTCCTGGAGAAAGAGCCCAGCCCAGCTGGGCACAGGCACCTTTCAGGAGCTGCAGAGAGCGCTGAGGTCACCCTGAGTCTCCTTTTCTCCAGGCTGGGCACCCCCAGCTCCCTCAGCCGTTCCTCAGCTGTTCAGATTCTGTGGCTGAACCCCAGTCCCCTCTCACCAACACAGATCTTCATCTGCAGCTTCTTCCCGATCTTGCTGATGGTCCTGAAGTCGGCAGTGTAGAAATAATGCTCAGCCACGGGTTCTGAGGCGATCTCCCTCAGCTCGTCCTCCACGGCGTTGCCCACTCCCACGGCAAACATCCGAAATCCTGCCGGGAACGGGATCCTGTCAGCAGCACGGAGCTGGCACGGTGCCACCCCTGCCAGGCTGGGCACCCTCATCCACCCCCTGCACCCCAGGCCCCACACAGCTCCAGATCCTAGCTGACAATTACCCTTCACCCCCTCTATTCCAGACTCCTTTCAGCCAGGTCAAATAGGGTGAAAATAATTTTACAAGCAGAGATTTTATTAAAATTTACCAGACCGTGGGCACTGTGGCCACAAGAACAAGGTTTTGGAGATGCTCCTTTCAGCCAGGTCAAACAGGGACCAAAATATTTTTACAGGCAGAGTTTAAGCAGAATTTCCCAGGTAATGACAACAAGAACGAGGTTTTGGAGATGCAAGAAAGGACATGTGATGGAAACACCATCCCACTGATTTGGAAGTGATAATGTAGCCAAAGGAAACAGTGGGAGTTTCCAGAACAGGCTCAGCCACTGTTAATCAACCCCTGTTAACGAGCCCTGAGTGGCAAAGTCCCCTTGCAGTGGAGACCTGGGGTCAGCAGAACTGAGCTGAGTCTCTGTCTAAAATTGCAGCCTCCCCTGGGAGTTCAGAACTTGCCCAGGGATTGTCCTGCTCTATTGATTGATCTGCATTAAACCTGTTTCTGTTGAACTGAAATGCAATTTTCCCATTTTTGGTGGTATTAATTAGCCCTGATTAAAAATATTTGTCTCTACTTTGTCTCTACTGTCCATGCTCAGGCACTGGAAACATTTCCCTGCTCCCCTTTCTGCCTTTCTTTCTCTGGATATATCAAATATGTGCTGTTTTTCCAAGGCTCAGATCACTGAACAATTCTGCAGTCTCATTTTAAGCACTTGTTTATCCCACAGCAATAACTCATGGAGAGATAAGAGATTTCCTTGCAGGGACAAAAGAGGAGGGAGAGACAAGGCACAAAGTTTTATCACCAGGGAGGAATAAATTCTATAAATACACTTTATAAGAACCTTTTGTTTTATAAGAGCTGAACAGCCCTGTAAGATGTCAGAGTGCTTTGTAAACATTGTTTTTTCACCAGCTCCCTGACCTTTCTGGTTATGTGCTGGCCCCGAGTCCCATCTAGTGGTGGAGAGTGAAGTTAAAAGGAAGGGAAGGATTCAGCAATTCCTGAATGAATTCCCAGGGCTGGATCCATTTAACACAGGGGTGTCAGAGACTGGGAACGTGCTCAGCGGGTCAGCAAAGGGGCAGCTCTCAAGGCATTAATATTTCATGGGGCTCAGACACAGGAATTCATCAGCGAGTGGCCACTGAGCGCTTTTCCTACAACAGCAGCTGAGAAAAGTTCCTTATTAATGTGCCTGGGTTCCTCCTTAACCCATGTCTGTGCTTTGTTTGTTGTTTTATTGCTTTTTCTTTGCCTTCTCCAGGCCTTGAGGCTGATGCAGCCAAGCCATGCTTGGCCCTGCAAATCCTGGTGTTCGTTGTCTTTGCCCCCGTGTGCCGCTGCTGCTGGGCTGGGCTTCCTGAGCAACCCCGGCAAATCCCAGGCTGGCTGGGGTTAGGAGGGACATTAGAGCTCCTCCTGCTCCACCACCTTCCACCATCCCAGGTTGCTCCAAGCCCTGTCCAACATTAAAGGTGCTGGAACCTCCTAATTCTAAATTCCCTCTGCAGCTTCCTTCCATATTTGTGTGGAGCAACTAGACTTGGGTGCATCCCATTCCACAGGGTAAAACTCCACCCTGCCCATCCCATTTCACAGGGAAAAACTTCACCCTGTCCATCCCACTCCAGGAGATGGAACTCCATCCAGTCCAACCCATTCCACAGGGCAAAACTTCAGCCTGTCCATCCCATTCCACAGGGTAAAACTACACCCTGCCCATCCCATTTCACAGGGAAAAACTTCACCCTGTCCATCCCACTCC